GCTCCATCCGTGAAATGGGATTAAGCCCTGCCCTTCCACAAAATTAAGACAAGTCAATTTGTGTGTGTTAAGATAAATTGAGATTATAGCCTATGGTAGTGATTTCTCCTTTTTTAAGCATTCCTTTAATTGTGGGAAAATACACATTACACATACCAATACCTAAATGGTGTTTTAGCCATTTTCAGTATACAGTTCAGAGGCATTAAGTACAATCATACTATTGTGCAACCATCACCATCCTCCATCTCCAGAACTCTTTCATCTTTCCAAATGGAAACTTTGTACCTATTAAGCAACCTCTTATTTCCCATTCCCTGGCTTATGGGAATCACCATTCTACCTTGTGTCTCTATGAATTTGACTATTCTAGGTATGTCATATACGTAGGATTGTATAGCATTTGTCTTTTCTGTGACTGGCTTATTTCACCTAGTGTAATGTCTTTTTTTCAGATGTAATTCTATGCAGAAGTGCAATTGCTGGGTCATATGGGAGTTCTATTTTAAATTTTTTGAGGAACATATTGTCTTCCTTCGTGGCTGAACCAGTTTACACTCCCTCCAACAACAATTGAGGGTTCCCCTTTCTCCACATCCTCGACAACACTTGCTATCTCTTGTCCTTTTGATAACAGCTCTCCTAACATGTGTGAGGTGATATCTTATTGTGGTTTTGCTTTTCCCTAATGATGAGTGATGTTGAGTACCTTTTCATGTACATGTTGGCCATTTGTATGCCTACTTTGGAAGAATGTCTATTTGGGTCCTTTGCCCATTTTTAAGGTGGAATATTGTTATTATTTTTAAATATTTTATTTATTTTAGAGAGAAAGCACGTGCATACACAAGCGAGGGAGAGAGGGGAGAGAAAGAGAGGGAGAGAACCCCAAGCTAACTCCATGCTGAACATGGAGCCTCGAGCCTGACTCAGGGCTTGATCTCATGACCCTGAGATCATGAACTGAGCTGAAACCAAGAGTCAGATGCTTAACCTACTGAGTCACCCAGGCATCCCAGATTATTATTTTTTATTACACTGTATGCTTCCCCTATATATTTTGGATATCAACCCCTTCTTAGGCATATGGTTTGCAGATTTTTTTCCTCCTTATTCTAGAGTTGCCTTTTCATTTTGTTGATGGTTGCCTCTGCTGCACAGAAGCTTTAATATTTGATGTAATCCCACTTGCTGATTTTTGGTTTTGTTGTTTGTACTTTTGGTATCATCCAAAAACATCATTGCCAAGAACAATGCCAAGGAGCTGTTCCCTGTGTTTTCTTCTGTGAGTTTTATGGTTTCAAGTTTTGTCTTTAATCTAATTAAAGTTGATTTCTGTGAGTGGTGTAAGATAAGGGTCTAATGTCATTCTTTTGCATGTGAATATCTAGTTTTCCTATCACCATTTATTGGACAGGCTGTCTGTTCTCCTTGAGAATTCTTGGCTGGCTAGTCAAGTATTAGTTGACCATATATACCTGGGTTTATTTCTGGTCTTTTTATTTTTTAAATATTTTATTTATTTACTCGAGATAGAGTGTGTGTGTGTGAGAGAGAGAGACACAGACAGACAGACAGAGACAGAGACAGAGTCAGAGAGACCAGGGGAAGGGAGATGGAGAAGTAGGCTCCTCACTGAGCAGGGAGCCCGATGCAGGGCTCGATCCCAGGACTCCAGGATCATGACCTGAGCTGAAGACAGATGCTTAACCAACTAAGCTACCCAGGCACCCCCATTTCTGGGCTTTTGATTCTCTTCCATTGGTCTATGTGTCTGTTTTTAATGCCAGTATCCTACTGTTCTGATCACTATAGCTTTTCAATGTAGTTTGAAACCAGGCCGTGGGATACCTCCATCTTTCTTGCTCTTTCTCAAGATTGCTTTGGCTATTTGGGGTCTTTTGTGGTTCCATATGAATTTGGGTTTTTGCTATTTCTGTGAAAAATGTCAATGGAATTTTGATAAGGATTGCGCTGAAACTGTAGATCATTTTGGAAGGGAGGCTTAAACTTCTAATGGTGACCGATGAACGCAATGGTGAGGGGCAAAGGGAATTCAGACTCATCTAGACCAGATTAAGACCCTTAGAAGGTCTGTCTCTCAGCTCCACATGCTCACTTTTTTTTTTTAATGATAGTCAGAGAGAGAGAGAGAGAGAGAGAGAGAGAGGCAGAGACACAGGCAGAGGGAGAAGCAGGCTCCATGCACCGGGAGCCTGATGTGGGATTCGATCCCGGGTCTCCAGGATCGCGCCCTGGGCCAAAGGCAGGCGCCAAACCGCTGCGCCACCCAGGGATCCCCCACATGCTCACTTTTAAGTGCTGCTTTTCACTCCCTGACGTTTCTCCCCCACATTTCTTAGGCTTCCTGTTAGATTCTGCCAAAAAGAGGCCCTGGCAGGAGATCAGATGGCAAGGAACAGAGATAAAGATCCAGTGCAGCAGGTGTTTGAAGTTGCTGATGTAGTAATAGGCACAGAGTCTTGGTCTAGTTCACGCATTTGGTAGATCCAGAACCAACCTTAAGAGTGTCTTTAATGGTGCAGCAGGAAGCAGAGGTCCCTAGAGCTGGAATGTACCACAGGGCAGGGGCAGGGACAGGGACAGGGCAGGGGCAGGGGCAGGGGCAGGATATAATCACTAAATCTACCCTTTTAGCTCTCCCTAACTTCTGTACTCAATTCTCCGTGTTAAATTCTGCCTGCTTGAAATACCTAGAATGGTAACAGTTATCCTGCCTGGGCCCTGACGTGGCATCCTTTAATGCAATCTAATCTAATCTGAAAAGTACACCTTTTTAGAAACTTTTTTAAAGTTTGGTGTGTATCCTTCCAGACTCTTCCCTATGACTTTAGCATACAAATGATTTAATACTGTGTATTTACAGAAGTATTAACATTCATATGCATTCTTCTGCAACTTGATTTTTAAAAAATATGGCAACCAGTCTTGGAGTTCTCTCCACGTTGTTATAAATATGAGATTATTGCATTTAATTGATGCTTTGTGTTCTAGTAGCCGTTTATCTAATGTTGGGCATTCAGGTTTTCAATATTTTTGCTCTTAATAACACATTGTGGTGAACATTATTACACATGGGCCAGTATTTCACTATGGTAGTTTAAGCAGAAGTGGAATCACAGAGTTGTAGGGTGTACATTTGAGATTTTACTACAGTTTGCCCGATTGTTTTTCAAAGGGGCTGTGCCAATTTACACTCCCACCCATGGACAGGAGAATGTCTTCTCCAAATCTTAATATTTCCAAGCTCTTTGGTTTTGGACAGTCTAGTGGAAGAAACAGTACCTTGCTGTTGCTTTCTTTAGTTTGCACGCTCCTATGGACTCATGCATTTGAGCATCATCTGATAGGTTAACAAGGACTACTTCAAATGGCAGAAGTAATTGTGAAACAGCTTGGCTTTCAGGGGCAGGTCTGTGAAGGGGCTCTTTTGCTAAAAAAGCTGCACCATGAAGCTCACCATGATTTCTTGTGCTATCAGCAGTTCGCTGAGGCTGCCATCAAAGGGGAGGGGAAAAGCCCCCAGCCTTTTTCGGACGTGTGTGGCATCCTCCACCTGCTCCCCACCGCCCCCCAGCAGTGGAGGGACTACTGAGCGCTCAGCAGTGACCAGCCCCTGTGGAGGGGAGGGATAGAGCAGAACAAGTTTCTATGAGCCACACCCTGGAGGACATGCAGTGGTGGGCTTTACTGAGAATCCGTGACACAGTCCACTCCCAAGGTTAATTAAATGTCATGGAAGCTGGACAACCTTCACCTCTGGGTTCCTTCTGGTGACATGTAATCCTGTGATAAATTTTAGATTCAGGGTCCAGTAGGAGTGCTGTAACTGCTCTGCTTTGAGAAAATAGAAACAGAAAACAGGACAAGGAAGGACAAGGAGAAACCTGAGAATTGTTATGCTTCAGCTAATTGTTTTGTTTTCTGCCAGATGCTCCTCAGGAAGCTGAAGGAATCATCTTTCTTACAAACCTCAGTTATATTCTGGTGGGAAAAGAATGAAGTCAATTTGAAGTCCAGGCTTTGCCACTTTGTGTGAGTTTCTTAACCCCCCAAATCGGGCTCATACTTGTCTCCTGTCTGCCGTTGAAGCCTCTGGCTTGCTGTTGGTTGTCGGCAGCACTAGACTGGAAGCCAGGATGACAGGGACACCCAGGTGGTTCAATGGTTAAGCATCTGCCTTTGGCTCAGGTCGTGATCCCGGGGTCCTAGGATCGGATCCTGCGTTGGGCTTCCCGCAGGAAGCCTGCTTCTCCCTCTGCCTGTGTCTCTGCCTCTCTCTCTGTGCCTCTTATGAATAAATAAAATCTTTGAAAAAAATCAGGACCACGAATTCTAGCTCTTGCTGTGGTAGAAACTTACTGGGTAACTTAAAGTCTCTCCCTCTCAGTTTCTCAGTCTGTAAGAACATGCCTGTACTACAGGCTTCTGTGAGGATAAAGACTACAGCAGGTGCGAGGCTTTAGATAAACACCGCTGCGTTGTATGTAGCCGTCAGGTACAAACGCAGGTGTGCCGGAAAGTGCCCAGCCACAAACAGCCCAACTGGTTTTACTCTAGAGGGAGAGAGAATATGCTTTTATGAATGAAACCGGTTGTCCAGGACGATATCTGGACTGTCCTCTTGGGATGCTGGGCAGCAGGAGCAGAGAGGATTTTGATAAGGAGGACAAACTCTGGAGACCAGTCAGGTGTCCTCCCGGGTCGTCCCGGGTAGCGCAGCTCCAAGAGGCTCCCTGGCGCCACCTGGTGTCCCATCCGCGCCACTGCCCAGAAACCACGTGTAAGAAAGTGCTTACAACCTAACTACGCACCCTGGTTTAGACCCGTCCTGGCCAATGAGAGAGGGGGAGGCGGGGCAGGGGGAAGCGGGAGTCCAATCGCCTCCTGCTTTCCGAGGCGAAGGCGGGGCTTGTGATTTACCACGTTGGGTTTGTCCGCAGCGCTAATTACTTTTTCCAAAGGCTGGAGGGCTTCACTCCGGCTGGCGCCGCCGCCTCGCGCGCTCCTGCTCCGCCGCGACCGTCCGGGGGGCTGCTCCTCCCAAGTACCATGTGTGACGGCGCCCTGCTGCCTCCTCTCGTGCTGCCCTTGCTGCTGCTGCTGGTTTGGGGACTGGACCCGGGCACAGGTAGCGCCCCTTCCTCGCCCGCCCGTGCCTCTCGCGGCCACCTTCCCCCTGCCCTCCCGAGGCGTCCTGGCGCCGCCCGCCCGCCCGCCGGCCCTCCTGCGCGGCCCGGCTCGGGCTCGGGCTCGGGCTCGGGCTCCGGCTCGGGCTCCGGCTCCGGCTCCGGCTCCGGCGGCCCGCTGACAGCGCTCGCGGCCGAGGGGTGCGGGCCGCGGCCGGGCTCCAGGCGGCTCCCGGGCGGCCGTGCAGCCGCCGGGTCTCCGGACGCCGATGCCGCGCCGCAGTCCCCGGAGGAGCTGGGGCGGCCGCGCTGGAGCCCTTCCCCGGGTGGCGCGGGGCCCGGGCAGAGGCGCTGGCCGGCTCGGAGGTGCGGCGGCGGGGGGGGTGGGGGGGTGGGGGGGGTGGGGAGCGGAGGGGAGGGAGCGCCGGCCGGACCCCGTGCGCTGCGGGCGGGCGGGGGCGGGCCCCGGCGCTGACGCGTCTCCTCTCTCCCCGCAGCTGTGGGCGACGCGGCGGCCGACGTGGAGGTGGTGCTGCCGCGGCGGGTGCGTCCCGACGACGTGCACCTGCCGCCGCTGCCCGGCGCCCCCGGACCCCGAAAGCGCCGGCGCCCCCGCGCGCCCCTCGGCGCCCCGCGCGCCCGGCCCGGAGAGCGCGCCCTGCTGCTGCACCTGCCGGCCTTTGGGCGCGACCTGTACCTGCAGCTTCGCCACGACCTGCGCTTCCTGTCCCGCGGCTTCGAGGTGGAGGAGGCGGGCGCGGCCGGGCGCCGCGGACGGCCCGCCGAGCTGTGCTTCTACTCGGGCCGCGTGCTCGGCCACCCGGGTTCCCTCGTCTCGCTCAGCGCCTGCGGCGCCGGCGGCGGCCTGGTACTGCCCGCGCCCTCCGGGTCTGCCCGTCGCTTAGTCGCGGCGCGGGGGGCGGCCCCCGGGGCAGGTTGGGATGGGGGTGGCGGCGCCTGGGGGGGGGTAGTTCAACCTCCGGGGGTGCTCTGTCGCCGTCCGGAGGGAACCTCCGCTTCTCCTGCCCCGACCTTCCGGAGGGTCTCTGAGCCAAGGGGTGAGGCGGGGAAGCGTCTGGTTGTCCGGTGCCTTCCACTGGCTGTGCTGAGCCCCCCAAAGCGCACAGGTACCCAGCAGTCCGGGGCTTGCCTGGGGCGCTGTGCGGCAGCCCGCCGCGGGGAGCGAAACCCGCCAGGCCCCTAGGCCGAGAGGCGCACTTGACCCGTGTTTCTTTGCATCTGCCCCGGTGTGTACGTGTCGTGTCGTGGGGGAACACCCATAGGTGTACGTCTCATCTGTTCTGGGATGTGGGGGTAGGGTAGTGAGCATTCACCTCCCTTCTGCCCTCTGGAATCTTTCTGTACCCAGAAAAGGAAAATTTGGAGGGGTCCCCTGCCAGGCCACTAACCTTCTCTTCTTAGTTGAACCTTGAAAACCGAGAGAGGGGGTGTTCATACTCCTGTTCTCCTATAGCACAAACAGGTATTTGTCTGGCAGCCAGCCTCAGCCCGGCCTGAGGGATGCTTACACTGGTGATGAGACCCTGTTCCTGTCCCCAGAAGCTCCCTTGCTGTGGCAGTAGCGACTGCACCCTGCTACATTTGAAGCACTTGTGGCAGTGCTCGGAAGGGCAGGGGAAGTTCTGGCGCACCTCTGCCCTGCTTGTGCTCACCCTTGCTTGATCACTGTACGCTGGTGCCCAGCCAGATGCTTCTCAGCCTCTCCGCTTCTCCATGCCCCCCTAGGAGCGCACATGGCTGGCAGATGGGCTGCCCCCAACAAAGCTTGGTGTCGGCTCAGTGCATGAAACACCCGAGTAGTTTCTGTATCTTCCGACATGACTGGCCTCTGGGGAAGCAGTTTCTGATATTCTTTCATATCTTTTCTTCCCTAGCAGAAGAAACTGTTTCCCCCATCTCTGCCTTATCTTGCTCTACCATCTAGAATTCTCTAGTCCTTACCCACAGAGTCTGAGACAAGTCCTAGATACTCTGCAGCAGAGCCAGAGAGCCTGGGGGTCTAAGTCTTTATGGAAGACCTCTGCTTTCTTCACAGCTATGTAGAGGAATTCTGGGGGTAATTTCCTAGGATTGGCTTTCCCTGGTTCCCCTTGCAGGACTTTTCTGAGCTCTGATCAGAATGTAATCTACTTTTGCTAGGCTGGAAGAAATTGGCGTCTTTGGTTAGAGGAGGAAAATGGACCGTGGAGGCAGCCTGTTAGGAGCTAATGTGGAACAGGGGCAGAGAATGTGGGCTGCGGGTGAGGAGGCTTAAGTAGGAGTGAGAAAGGCTCAGATCACCGTAGGACTCGGGTCAAGGCTGTATCATGTTCTGGGAGGGACTGGAAGGCCCACATCATTTTTCCTGTTTTTGCCAAAGTGTTTAAAGTCTAGGTCACATCACTGTACTGTACACGGAAACATCTGAATCCCATTTGCTGCGGTTTGGTGAGTTTCTCTAGAGGTCAGAGTTTATACTTCTTGGTGTAAAGTTTCCAGCGAGGAGCTATCTGTGAAGGAGCCGAGGGTGGAAATCTGGATAACATTGATTCCAAATCCTCACCGAGTTGAATGCGGGGCCCTCTCACAGATGGCATCTGAGCCGTGAGCGGGTTCACTTCAGTCCTCCCGTGTTTGGAGAAGCCTGTCCTTCCCTTCGGTGCCATGTGAGGGCGCTGTGCTTTAGTTAAAGGAATCCCGCCAAGAGCTTGCGTTCAGTGTGTGCCAGCTGCTGGTGGACCTCTAAGACTTGAGATTCTAAAATTCCTGCAGGAGCAGACACTTCTGGTGTTTAGTCTGCTGCATTCATCCTGTTCATGTGAGCTGGATGCTGGACACTTCTTCCTAAGTGCACTCTGCAGAGGAAGGGCTGGAGGCAGGAAGGAAGAGACGGCGTGGTGACTTGGAGTGGACCTCTTGGTTGCAGGGTGGTTCTGAGACCTGTCAAGAGAAGGAAGGCAACAGGATCTCAGGCTAACCGAGTTTGCATGGCACTTTGCTTCACTTTGATTTGGGTTCTCAGACTCACTTGAGACAGTGCAGGTGGGTGGTAATGTTGTGTTAGTCACTGTGGACTGAGGGGGAAGCACTGGGAGATGGAATGGGGCCTGTGTGTTGTGTGTTTGTCAGGACAGGCTCAATCACAAGGTGTGGGGGAAGGAGCGACAGCAAATAGGAGATTTCTGACATCCACAGATGGGAGTCTTCCAAAGCCGCCTTGTACCTGAAGGTCAGGTAGAGCCCAGGGTCGGCAAAATTTTCTGGAACCAGATAGTAAATATTTTAGGCCTCGTGGGCCATGTGGTCTCTGTCACAGTTAACTCCACACTGTCCTTTTTGGCATAAAGGCACCATAGACAGTAAATAAACAGATGGACATGGCTATACTCAACAAAACTTTATCCCAATGTTGAGTCGCAATTATATCCTGATGCATCAAACATCTCCCAAATGGCTTAGTGGGGAGTGTTAGGTGCAGGGGAATGTAGGCCCTGTTCCCTGTTGCATGGCATCTGTGCTGCCTCCAGAGAAGGTTGGCATCTGTTTAAAGGAGATGCATAATTAGAGTAGGTACTTGTTTGTGGGGCATGAAGTGTAAATATCACGTTGCATTTTACCTCTTCTGCTTTTGACTGTGGGCAGAGGTGTGGGCCCATGGTGTTCTCCCTCTCTTATCTTGAAAAGCTGTGTAAACTGTCCTTCTTGGCTCTTTGGAGACCAAAGGTGCAAGTGTTAATTGTTTTCTGTTTACGCTTCTTCATTTTGTTTACGTTTCAAGGGGGGCCTTAGACATTACATAAGTTTTTGGAAGAGTTTGTACAACCGTATATTTCAGAGCAATGAACTTGGGACATGTGAGGCAGGTATTTCCACCCCCAGAGAATTTATGCAAGTTTGGATCAGCTGCCTCCTGTGAGTTGGACCAGCTGATGGAAGGTGAGCAAAATTGAAATCAGGTTAAACTGCCAGAGCGGGCAGCAGAGATGGAGCTTTAAGGGGCAGAATGAATGTCAGTCCCTGAAAAAGTCTGCAATGAGTGAATGAAGGAGCTGTGTTCCATCTCGATACATGAGGACAGAGAGCAGAGGAGGCCCCTGCCAGAGAGTTTTGCCTGCTGAGCAGTGGCCATTCTGCTTTCATGAACGTGAGCTCAGGAGAGTCCACCCAACTGAAAATGTCCCTCCCTTCTGGGCTGAGGCCATGGCCTGCCAGGTGTATGCAGTGAGAGAAATACTGATATCAGACAGAACACCCAGGAGCTCCAGGCTGTGGAAATTTCAGAAGCCAGGCCACCCCAGAGGGAGGACAGAGAGAAGGTCAGGGACATTCCTGGCATGCTTTCTCTAGAATCTCAGACACACTCCACGCGATCCTTGTTTGGAGTCTCTCTCATCCAGGTTGGCCCCGAGGGTGGACCTAATGGCCCAGCCCAACCTGACTCTGTCCAGTCAGCTCGATTGAAGCACAAGGGGCCAGTTTGGCAGCACATCATTTGTTGTCTACTCGGGAGCTTTGTGAGAATGCTCCTCTCTATTCCATGGGCTAGACAGATAAGGACAGAGTGGGGTTGAGGCCAGACAGTCATCGAGCAGGCAGCTTGGAAGAGTTGGAGGACTCCATTCTTGAGAGGACAGCCTGCATTTCATGACTCCTTTGATGAAGGGGGCAGGTTTGGGAGGTTGCTGTCTCTCCCTTTAGAAGCTCTCTTTTGACTGATTATAAAATTGCCTAGCTTTTTAATACAGCATCACTTGATTGCATGCAGCCGAGCAGGAATCCACTGTGGCAAAAATTGTATGGCATGGAGATCATTTGGAAGGGAGCACAGAGACCAAACTACAGTGTCCTACATCATCATACTGGTATAGGTGTGGCGAAGGCACATTGTCCTTAGTGATTCATCACTGGATGTTACTGAAGAGCTCATCATGTACAGCGTAAATGTACTTGGAAAATGCACATGTATCTTTCAAACCTCATAAAAAAAGAGTTGAGTGGATGTTAAGGAAAGTCAGGAGAATAGGGAAAAGACAGTGTGGAATTGGGAGGCGTGGAGGATTTGAAGGGAAAAATTTGGATGGGAGAAATCTAAGGTATCGCACCTCTTGCTCTAGAATCATGTTCACTTGGGCACGCAGTGACTTTCTGCCCCCACTGCTCTCATGGGCATCATGGTGTCCATGGAGCTCTCCCCAGTTACACTCTGTAACTAGGTTTCTGCATCTGAACTCTTGTGTCATTGGCAGCATTGTAAAAAAAAAAAAAAAAAAAAAAAGGAAAAAGAAGTGCAAGATGGGATGCTAAACCGAAGATGTCTTCGCCTGATTGCATTCTTGGGGCTTATTTCCTGAGCTTTCAAATGCTACAGCTGCCTGGGTTTGGATGTATGCAATGGGAGATGGTTTTGCAACCAGTTTATCAGAGGGAGACATGCAGTCACTGCTGATCCTTTGCATGCCTCTGCACACAGATGCACGGTCACCTTCTTGTTCTTTAGGAAGTGAGGCTGCATGGTTGCCTGGGGGCTGTGATCGTGAGTGAGCCACCTCCTCTCAAAGGTCCTGTCTGCAGCCACTTGGGGGGTAAAGAACGTCAGCCTTGTGTGGCTATTGACAGAATCGAGTAAGATAATGTCTGTGAAATCATTTAGGACGAGCCTGGCACATTAAGGCATTAAAAACACGTTTCTTCTGTTGCCCTACGGGGCCCAGACTTTTCCAGCTATAAATCAACCAGTCAGTCAACACTGTTGACTAAGTGAACAGATCATTATCACACACCTGCCCTGTTTGGACTGGTGGGCTCCCAGCAAGCCTCAAGGAGTAATACAACATGGACCCTGTCTCAGAAAACAATCCAAATTCACAC